TTGGCTGGTGATCAGGTCCAGTCTGTGTGAAACCATCCACAGACATAATGTAAATATTAAAGTCTGTATGTGTATTTCTAACCCTGATATAGGTTCAAAAGATGTATCTTTGGTCTCTGTATCAGTCAGACAGTGACTGTAAAGATGGATGGATGTAAAAAGTTTGCTTCCTTCACACAAAAGCTGTATCAACATGAATTCATGTCAGTCTCACTGGAAAAAAACATATAAAACCTGTTGATAGCCAGTGTTGGGTTCCATCTGTGTAGCTCTGTGCATGAGTGGTAAAACAAAAATAGTTATTCTTATGTTTGCATGTGTGTATGGAGGACCAGTGGAGAAAAGAATTTGCTGCTTTTTCACTATGAAAGGTTCCTGTAGTAGGTGCTTCAATTCGATTTTGAATAATTAATTATTAAAAAGGTGGACAAAAGCCATATAAACTTAAACATTCATGAAGCCTAGAGAAGCACCAGAGCATCTGCCAAAACAGCATCTATGCATCCAATGTGAATGGAGCTGAAGTGAAACAGCAGTAAAAAATTTCAGCTGTCTGAGAATGATCCCTGTGCGCGTTCACCTGGCTCCCAATAGAAGGTTCAGAGTTGGATAGGTTCACTCCAGTTTTCAGACAAATTGTTCTCACATTAAGGCTCCCAGCTGGTCAAGGACTTTTAAATGATGGCTCGCCTGAGGAGCTCAGAATGGTGCAAATTGTATGAATTTTAAATCATTTCTTATAAACTTTGTAAGACCTGGTTCTATGCAGATATTGATGTGGTGTAATTGGTTTAGACTTCACTTTTCTGACTTGGTCTGTCCTATTTTTTTCTACCTTTGTTTGCTGATTGTATTTTTTTTATTATTCTATGCAAACTACAGCTGATTCGAGAAGTGCAACAGACCTACTGTACAAACATCCAGGCTGGCTTCGCATCAGAACACAACAGTTTGTAATGTGATTCGAGAACTTGTTGAAAGATCAGAGAAGGAAAATTGGATGATCATTTTTTACTATATATTTTCTTCCCTAGAGATGAAAATTACTGTAAGCACATGTGTCTAATCTTTCCACTGCAGTAGGTCAAAGCCAGCGTCAGTGTCTCCTTCATGATATCCTCTCCTGTTGGGAAATGAATTCCTCTCACTTCTTGTGAACAGGGCATGTTAGGCTCGTTTCAGAGGCACATGAGCTGCTGTCAGTGTGTCAGCACCAGTGGCACCACAACTAATCCTGTACACATTTTATACACAAGTCTGCAAACACAGGGACCTGCTGCACATAATTCATTCCTCCATGAGATGTACAGACACGCACAGAACAGTTGCACGATCCTAAGCATAAATTCATGAATACACACTAACTCTCACTCTCACACACGTTGGTCTTACTATAGTTAGACACATCATGAGAGTGTTTGATTATTCGAGCCTGCATGTCTGCACCGAGTCAAGCTAACACTCCTCTGACTAACACATAGCGCAGCCCCTGCATACTAATGTCAACACAGATGATCATGGAGGAGATAAGGCAAGAAACAATCACAGATGTGGAGGAAATAAAGAGAACAAGAAGAGAGAAAAAGCAAGGGAAGAGGTTTTTCATCACTTGGGCTCAGTGCAACAGAATGAAGGTGAACCTGTTATTAGCCTATTTACCCATCCAACAGGCGCTCAGCAGCCTTATCATGTGCTGTATTTGGAATTAGTCTTGTGTCCACCACATACACATTAGTCCTGTATTCACAGTCTGTTGTTGGTTCCTCACTAACCCCCAAGGGAAATATCCAGCTCTTTAATTAATCTCTAAATTTAATCTCTTTCAATGAATCATCATTTCACCTTTCACACCACACTTATAATTTGTTCTATTTATTGATTAGAAAATGCTTATAATAGCGCTTTGTTTTTACATGTTACGGGCTCAAACTGTGATTAATTTTCAAACAGCAATTGTGAAATATGAAAAGATGAGAAGAGATTAAAGATTTTAATTAGTTTTGAATTTTTGGATAAATCAGACTGATGGGATTAATTTCCACAAGGTTGCAGTGTAGAACATCCTCCTCAGGTGGAACTAAAGTCGTAGCACATTAAGCTGATTTTCAATTAATTTTTAAAGTTTGGAACTTGGACAGTTGCTACAGGACCAGATAAAGATGTGGCCATAAAACAAAAATGGAGGACGTGATGGAAGTGAAGGGTCAGAGAGATGAGACAGGCCCAAGTAAATGGATGGAGAGAAAGAGAACTCCTCTGAAGAGTAAAGTTTGCTGCAATGCTGCTGCAATACTTTGACAATTTCCTCATCCCCTTGTTGCTGATGTGTTATGGTGTGAATTTCTCAGACGAGCAGGGGAACAGCTCTGATATCTGGGTTGTGGCTGACAAGATGATGATGTTTCTGATAGAACACAGATCAAAGAAGGTTTAACACTGCAATCAGTCGAAGGTTCTGGGGGACAGGATGGATGGAGGCACAGACCTGATTACACAGGTCTGCTCGGCTTGTTTCTGGACAATTTGTGTGAACTGCTGAGATGCTACAGTGGCTGCGGTTTGCTGGCAGCGTTTGCCCTGACCGTTTGTGAGGACACTGTGAGAGCTTTCTTCTGTTTGTCCTCCACTCATTTTCCTTTCTCCTCTTCAGTAGAGTGAATTCATAAAGCAATGTTTGAGCATAAATTCTTTGCTAAACATCCCATTTTGCTCCTCACTTGCAGCAGTCTGCAGGTAGGTGTGTCCTGCAGTTAATATGGTGGCACCTCAGCTGAGGCTATTTAAGATGGCTTTTGTGGTCTGTTCACGCTCTCTTCCTCCTCTCTTCCTTTAGGATCTTTGTTGCCTGGTTCAGGGTTTGTTTACTTTCTACATGCCTCACATTACTCCACTCATACATCCACTGCACACATCACTGATTTGACTGACTCACACACGTCGTTGGTATTATAGTTTTTTTATATTTTGTGCTTGCAAGAAGGCACTACAACTTGGTTCTGCCTCCCCATTTTGTCCTTGGCTATGAGCCACCTGGTGACAGTTTTCAACATACTCCAAAGTGTTTTTCAACATGTTTCTGTAACTTTGTAACTTTGGTTCAGGATCAGCAATACTCGTTCTGATGTGACAGTTAAAAAATTTAAAGAGTTACCTTTCAAATTAAATCAGGGTTATGAATTTTATCAAAAGGGTCAAAAAACAGTAAAATTTTTTATTTTGGGTACATCATTTCTATATGGTAAAACAATAACAAACATGATGTGGATGCCAAAAGTAAAACCAGTTCCAGTGCATTAAGACAAAATTAAAAGAAAATGTAAAAACATTCACAGCACACGTTCTTAGAAGTGTTTCTGAGGGTGATGCTTATTTGACTAATTTAATCAAAGTAATATATATATGAGCGATTACACTATAAAGTAAAATTATAAAGTACCCTGCTAGGAGAAGAAAGTAGCCCATTAAATAGGTGGCACCTGGGCGTTGCAGCAGCGTCAGTCGGACAGCCTTCTCAGATCGATGCCAGCTCTCTAACAGCAGCCGGCCTGTCAGTTCTCTTTCCAGTTGGTGGCCTTTTGCTAACCTCCACCTTGAAATAGCTTGCTGCCGCTGTGCCCCTGTGAAGCAGAGCAGATGAAGGCCTAGCTGGCCAGTCTGTCTGCACACTCAAGCATTGTGATAACTCCCGACAACTGGCTGGCTCTGCTTCCTTCACACATTGCACTCCCTCTTGCCCCCACCGCCGCCATCGCTGCTGTAATGAGGCCATTAAACCTCACAGCGAGGGAGGTCTTCAAGCTCAAAGTCCAGTTTTACATGACCAAAATGTTTTCAACCTGTGTGTCTGTGTAGCGGTGGTGATGGTGGAGAGGGAAGACAGAACTCAAGAACAAAACAAAATCAGCTGACAGCAGGAGCTGGCAGCCATTTTGACGGTGTCCTTGAGTTTACTGTAAGGACTCTGTTGTTGTGAAATCAAGAGTTTGAATGTGAGATGTGTCTGGTGAGGGTTGTTTGTTCTCTGTTCACTTAGCAAACAAAACAAAACAAAAAGCTAAGAAAATTCAAGGTTACAACTTCTCTCAGTCAGTGACAGTTCGGCCTTCAGATCCCATCACTGTCATCACAAAGCCAAGTTTTATTCAGCATCAAATCACAAAACCATCTGTCTATACCAGACTAACAATCAGTTGGACCTGTATCAGGACTGGGGACTTGATTGGACTTGACGACTGAGTGACTTGACTCTACCTACAACTTAAAACAAAGTCCTTAAAATCCTGGGGTTTTAAACTGGAAAACCTTGGACCAGCATCAGATGGCTCTTCCATAGCTACAGACCTGGTCTCAGTTAGATGGAAAGTAGTATTAAGACAGGAAAATATCTGAGTCAGTGGTCAGGAGCAGGAAGACTGGAACCTGGATGTGCACTGTGACTTGGCTTAAAACTGAGACATTCTTTGACAGGATTTGACACTTGACTTAGACGTGTCTCAACTCACTTGATGTGGACTTGTCCCCACTGACTTTTGACTTGGCCCCACTTGTCTTGACTGACTTGAAACTTGACTGGACTGACCCAGTAGTTAACTTGGACTTGTCTCTGTTGACCTGGGACTCGACTAAACTGAGACGGGGCTGTGAGTTGTGGTGCTTATTTGATGAACAATATTTTTCAGAGAATACAGGAAGAGGTATGACTGATGTCATTAGACACACAGTGACACAAAACACAGTAAATAATCATTTCACAGGTTAGCCAAGAGACAACACACCTGGTATCAGCACAAACATATAGGGGATGGCCAAAAAAAACAATACAGAAACCATTACATCTTTGAACCATGTTGTTTAATTCTGGTTGAACTTGTCAGAAAATATTTTTTAAATATTTTTGTCACAGTTAAATACACATAAACTTGCTTGTCCTGTCTGGTTTTGCTTAAGGCAACTAGATGCGCTCCTACTTTGCAGTCACGTGACTGCTCCGCCCACCTGATCACCTGCTTCTCCACCTTTTGTCCAGATGTTCACACAGCTCGTTTTCACGTGCACCGCACTGGACTGAGAAGTTCTCCAACTTTTCTGTGGATTTATTGCGCCATCCTGGTTTGTTAGTACCTGGTTTTGCCTTCCTGTGCGTTCTGTGGACTTTTGCTTTACCTGCTCCGTTTGTCTCGTACCTGTTCGTTTGGATTACCCGCTCTCCGGCCACAGCCTGCTTCCTGACTACGCCTCCTGTTCGTCCCTGGCCGGAGTTTCGTTTGTCTGCACCACCAGTAAGTCCATTCTCTCTTTTCTTGACGGCTTGCGGTTCGGTTCTCCTCTCTGCTGCCCTGTATGTCTCCTACGGTGACGTTTTGCAGAAGATTCAAACGCAGTTGAATGTTGTCATAATATTGGAGTGCAGCACATCCCTGTTTATTGATTTTGTTTGGTGTTAACACAATGCCAACACGTCTTCCATCTGTACCTCTTATTTTTTATAAATTCAGGATAACACTGTTTGCTCAGCATTATTTCTGTCAGCACAAACACAAACATGTCATATTCAACCCTCTCCTGTTCCGACCAGCTTTCATTTGTGTGTTGTATTAAATTATTACAGTACTAGCTTCTGTAATTTGTGGATTTAGTAAATGAAAACAAGGTCAAATCCTTTTCCATGTTTTGATTTAGTTAAGCTCGTGGTTAGGTTGGAGCTTCTCTATGTTTGAAGTGAGGTGTTCAACCAATCTTAAAATTAGGAGCACTGACATTAGTGTCTGTCACTTCATGGTCAGATCACTGTTGCTTCTTCTGACTGTCTGATTGTGCATGTTGTGAAGTCTCCTCGTATTTGTAAAACTGCTTTCTGTTACCTGATGCCTTTTGCTCCTTTGCTGCCAGTCTGGACTCATTTGCCTTCACATATCTACATTTTGACAGGTAGACCTGCTGGTGGCCTCTTATACCTGTGATGCCGTGTAATTGGTGAAGGCTGAGACTAAAAGTGGAGCAGGCTTGAAACGTTTAATGTTTTTTAAAATTTGATGTGAAGTTGTTAAATCTTCTTGGGCAGATCTTTACAGTATGCAGATCTGCTGTTCTTCTGTCAACCATGTTAGCCAAATCTAGTGTCAGATTTAAGCTGCACATTTAGGTATATCTAGCATATTTTCCCCAAACTACTGCTGCTGTGTAAGAAGGAGCTTATGCTGCAGCTGTGATACTTTTTTGAGGTTGTAACTGCAGGCGGAGTTGTGAGTGACAGACTTGCTACTGCAGCATCAAACAAAAGCAGTGTGTTTGGCTTAATTCTGTCACAGAATATACTGAGCAAATGGATATGCATTGGAGACCTGGACTATGAAGGCATGCTTTGATAAGGTTTCATGGACCCTTTGCTTCTTCCCAGTAAATGTTGATGCTGTGTAGCCAAGATGCTGCTCCTCATGGAAAAATAAGTGTCAAACTTTTCAGAGCCCCTTTTGAAGCCTACAGAGTTGGGAGCCTTTGACTGTAAAATATGTTTTTGGTGGTGTATCTTTAACATCCTGTATTAGAAAAGAGGCGTCTGTGCCCCTTGTGACTTTTCCAGTCTCTTGCTCTCAGGCAGTCCTGGTTTTCTTCCTGTACTGTCTGATAGCGTTCAGTGAACCAGCAAAAAAGCTGGTGAATTCACTCAGATGATGATTGGGGTCCAAAGCTCGTGCTCTCAGACTGCAGAGCTGAAGTGCTAAGAAGGTGGCAACTTGGAGCAGGGCTCAAAGGAGAAAATGGGTAAGTTTGTAAAGGAAACATTAGCAGGGGTGACTTAGGAGCATGCACGTGTTGTTTTTTTTATGTGAAACTTCATACTGACTGGAGAATGAAACGCATGAACAAGTTGAAGATACAAACAGCATTCATGAGCTTTTGGCCTTTTCCTACTTTAAACCTGGATGTTTGGGATTCATGCACAGATTAAGTGGCCTGGTGACTATTTGGCTTGGAGAGAGAACTCTTTATGTTGAAACAGATCAACTCTCATTTTGTAGTTGCAGTGTTTTAAAATGAAATGAGTAAATTGCAGGTCTGTTTGCAGAGATCGTCTGTCCCTCTCATCGTTCTGCATGCTCCTCATGCTTCAGACTGCAGTGGTGGAATGATCTGCTTTTCTCAGTCTCATTCTCATTTTTGGTTGCATGTTGAAAACTTAACTCCCCACTTCCACCTCTCCTTGTGCTCTGACTCGACCTCCCCAACACCGTCACGCCAGGGTTTGTCTACTGCATATGTCCACTAATAGGCATAAATTTCAGCACTGCAAAATGTTCTGTTTGGATTTGTGATTATTGGTGAGTTCTGCTGGTCTAAACCCGGTCTGGGCTCTGTATTTTTTGTTCACTTCTGATCCATCTTAGATTGCTTTGATTGGCAGGTTTGTATAAAACGATAGGAACCAAGAAACGATTTGATAATACAAGCGTGACAACTACAGCGGTTAAATTGATGAAAGTAAACCACTTGGTTAAAGGTAGAGAAGGTCATTGTCATGGTTAAAAAAAGCCAACATTAATCATGGGTTTGAGACAAGATGTGGACTCATCTTCATCATGACGGCAGGAAGTAACTACTCTATGATATCCACCACCCTGATACCTGGACCCTTACTTTTGTCACTGAACAAAAGGGACTCTTCTGACTGCACTGGATGCAGATTGTCAGCTGTATTCCAGCAGAACTCTGAGGGAGGCTGGCCTGCACAGCATGCTGCATCTTCAGTCGATAATATAAAATTTCTCACTCTAGTGTCTAGTGTAGCTTCATCATGTTAAAAATTGTGCTTGTCTGAGAGCGTTCTGTTTTGGCCAGAAGGCAGGCAGACATTTCGCTGATCCACAGTAAAAATCCTGGACTACTTTATTGCTGAAGTGAATGAGAAAGAAGTTTTGCCTTTCTTCAATTTATACCTAGGAGTTGCCAAAGTCAGACAGTGTAAAATAATCTGGGAGCTTTATCAAGAAAACACACAGTGGGCGTCCTGAAGATTTTTGTGTAAAGAGGCAGTTTTTTTTTTAATATCAACAGAAATTAGGGCTGGACCGAATAGCTGAATATTTATTTGTTATGTAGGTAATTGATTTCATCTGAATATGAGGTAAAGAGGCATCACTCTGTAACACCACTGAATAATCAGGGTGAACTGAGGGCTTCTCTGTCCTTCCTACAACTCCAACAGGGTGAGATGTCTTCACTGCTGAAACTGTCAGTTGAAGATTTGATATTTGTTCATCTGTTACATTATATATTACATAATTTTCATTAACGTTTGTTTTTCCTAACCAAAAGTAGTGCCAGATGGGCAAAAAGGTATATTTAGCTACAGAACAATGTCAGGCCATCGCTGTCCCTGATGCTACTGCCAGCGACTATTCAGAAAATTTGTATTCGAGACAGCCCTAACACTAATAAGGCCTTGAAATACAAACACATTTACTGTGATCCTCTATCTACACTCTGTACTTTTTTAAAAGTGTTGTTGACTTTTATTTGCTAGTATGACAGTATCTACCAACAGGAGGACATGGAGAGGTGTTGTACCAGACATGATCCACACTCGGAATTGAAAGGGGAATCCTTAAACTAAGGATATGCTTGTCTATACTATACCCACAACAATTTGTTTAGTGGAGTCTGCAGTCTTTGAGGGTAGAATACACTTTCCCTCTTTTCTGTACTTTGCATTTTCTGAGTGCTAGATATAAGACTAGTGAAAGTGAAGCCAAAGTCTCATGAATACGTGGGCGGCCATTTGTGCTTTTGTGACATATTTTGCCACCAGAGCTGAGGAACTGTCACGTTGTCTGTCTTCATATCAGTTTATGCTGCTAGACCTGAAAAAATGTGTGCTCTTGGGTAGAAGTATATCTGTTGTGCAGTTAAACCTGAAACATTATTGCTCAGTGTATCTGCACTGAGTGTGTTCTTTTAATCTCACTTCACTGCCGTATAGGCTTTTTTCACCATTTCCTCAGTGACTTCTCTGCAGCAGTGACTCGGTGAGTCTGTGAGGCACTCGAGCCGAAGGTCAGGAGCTCTGCTGCAGGTGCCAGCATGTAGCAGTCCTCTGCTCTCAATCCTCAGCTGGTTAGGTTGTTAGAAATGCCCTCTGGCTACACGCAGAGGGGTGAAGCACAGTGTCAGCTCCCCACACAGAGGTGGGAGGAAAGAGAGTAGGAGTAGTTGAATATCATTTTTTTCTTTCGTCCCCTTTTTTTCCCACATTTTCCATTTTCTCCCTCTGTCTCACTCTCATCCTTCTCCCTGTGGCTGTGCTGAAGTGTGTACAGGATACATTTTTGATTTACATGATCTGCCTTTGCGCAGCATGCACATACAAGCACTTGCATCATGTGTTAATGTAAACACTACAGTATTCTAAGTTGTATCTTTGACAGCAGATCCTCCAAAATAAATGACAAAAGTGTGATGCTGGCTTCTGAAATAACCTATGATCTGATGATCTTCTCAGCAGGACCACATCGTTTGACACGTCCCACCAAACTAGTACAACTGATTAATTTGACATAGCACTATGGTAAATGTTTGCTAGGCAGCTAAAACTACTTTGCTATGTTAGCGAAAGGTAATAATCACAGTTAAAAGACACCAGTGTTGTGCAGCCCTCGTGACCTGGTTCGTGCACTGACCCTGAACTCCCCAGTTCACCTCCAGCCAGAGACCTTTGTTTTATGTCATTCCCCATTTCTGTCTTCCTTCATTTCATCTCCCAGCCTTTTAGCTTTATTGGCACAACATCCCCAGATAATAAAAATAATACTATAAGAAACGAATATCAACTACTGGCAGGAGATATTAAAGTGGCCACCTTCATAACAGGTTGTGGGACTCTGTCAGAGCTGTTACTTACATGATTTAGATTATTTTTGCACGGCATATCTACAGCTCTTTTGCCTTAATGCTCAGTTTTGATTTACTGTTCATATTTTTAAGCTGCTTGGATGACTGTGGGTTCTTGATTTAGTAATTACAGTTTGACAAAATGTTGAACACTGATAGCATGTTATGATCCCATTAGTATAATATGAATTGCGTGAAAGTTAATGAGATTTGAAAGAATGAAAACTGTGAATTATCACCCAGTCCAGTGTGATGATTTCACATCTTTAACAGAGAGCTAATCCCACATATGACCAAAAAAATGCGAACAATAAATCAAGACCTGTGCTACCCCACAGTTTACATTTACATCCCTTCAGTTACTGTTGCCCAGGAGCTCAGGACAGCATGTCCA